CCTAGAGACAGGACTTGGCTGGAGATCCTACACAGAACCTAGAAACAGAACCTAGCAAGAGAACCTGGCTGAAGAACCTAAACACAGAACCTAGAGACAGAAAGACAGAACCTAGAGACAGGACTTGGCTGGAGATCCTAGACAGAACCTAGCAAGAAAACATGGCAAAAGATCCTGGACAGAACCTGGCTACAGAACTTGGATGGAGATCCTGGAGGGAGAACCCAACCATGCTGATCAACTGAATGCTGCCTTTGAGTCCTTCCTTCTTCGCCTACTCCGTCCACACCTATGGGGAACCCCTGGACCTGCTGGGGCTGGACCCCAGCAATGGAGGAGAACCTGTGTGGGGCACCAAAGAATTAAACACTGGGAGCCGTGTGTGTGTGTGTGTGTGTGTGTGTGTGTGTAGATACATAGGGACAAATTGCCAAAAGTTGAAAGAGTGGCAAAACAAAATAGTTGATAAAGATCCAAAGAGACATTCTGTTCCTACTCTCTCTTGCCTTGGGCTTTCTACGTCCTACATTGTCCTTTGCACTTTTATTTAGGAAAGAATTAAGGCTGCACAGCCCAAGAAGAGTCCAGACTCCCATACCCACAAGTATTGAGCAACCTGCCTCCCGCCTTCCAGGCCCAATAGAATCTGCTGGTTTTCCCAGAATACTGACCCGATCTTCCACAAGAGGGACTGTGTGCACTGGGATGGGCTGCCAGGGCAGGTTGGGATTCCAGAGGCTAATACCCTTGGGGGGAAACAGGGCTGCAAGGTTTGTCATGGCACTCATCAACGTCCGGTCAATGTCTGTGCTGCGAACATAAACCTAGAGTGGGAAAATCAAAGTAGAATCCAACTGAGAGGAACTGTGGGTTTTTCCTGTACAGCTAGTACCTGAGAAAGGACAGGATATCCACACCAAAATATTAGCAAACATTGTGATAGCATCATGATCATAAGATCTGTTATGGAAGAGACAGTATTATGAGCATGCCATGCTATAAAGCAACCTGCTATGCCAATACAGTGGGGCCTTGACTTACGAGTGTCCCGACTAACCAGTTTTTTGAAATACAAGCCGATTTTTTGCTTTGAGTTGCGAGCTAAAATTCGGGTTATGAGCCAGCTTCAGATACCCCACCGCTAGTTGGCACAGCAAACGTCACAGTGAACGCCACAACATCAGCCCAGCATCACGTGTCTCACTCGTTCACTTTAATGATTTGATATACGAGTAATTTGAGTTACGAGCTCCATCACGGAACGAATTAAACTCATAAGTCAAGGCCCCACTGTAGTTGAATTGACAAAAGAGACCAATTAAGTGGAGGCTACGTGTCTTTACTTGCCAAGCTAAAGTATTTACCGTAGTTGTCCTTAACATTTTAGCTCACTCATGTTCATAATGTTTTAGGAATAAAATATTTGTAGAAAGAGGAATACATTTCTAAACAAGATTATCTGTTGGGAAATAGGCAAAGCACTTTGAGAAATGCAACATTATGTTAAATTCTTTCAGAGGGACAAGGTTCCCACTTCTAGCTCCCCAACTTGCCTGTTGATGTTTATAGGACTCATTCAAGAATTTTCCGTATCTTTTCCTTATATACTCTCCAAGTTCATAATGCTGCTCCATGCCCAACTAGGGGAAAAAATAAAAGCACAAATTACTGAAAGTAAGTTCTGTGACTCTTATCTATGCACCTCATCTCTCCTCATTAAATGAGTGAATAATAGTGTACTTTAATAGTTCCACAACAATACATTTTTAAATGACAACAAGAAAAAAAAAAGCTGTAGTTTTTAGTCATTACTCCCTGAGAAAACTCTTTACCTTCATTACCACTTAACATAGAGCCTTGTACAGGTAATAATTGGTGATGAATCTGATCTACATAAATGATTCATCCCTGGTGTGGTAGAGCATTCAATGGTCATCTTTGTTGGCAGAACATTCAAAGGGCTGGCTGACCTCTTAGGACCGTGGTTGGCAAACCGCGGCTCGCAAGCCACATGCGGCTCTTTGGCCCCTTGAGTGTGGCTCTTCCACAAAATACCACGTGCAGGCGTGCACGTACAGTGCGATTGAAACTTCATGGCCCATGTGCAGAAGTTGGTATTTTGTGGAAGAGCCGGTATTTTGTGGAAGAGCCACACTCAAGGGGCCAAAGAGCCGCATGTGGCTCACGAGCTGCGGTTTGCCAACCACTGATTTAGGGGGTTGGTGGAAGAAATTCAACCATTAAGAGGTTGGATTTGATGAATCTGAAGATCATATTCAACCTCTGGGTGCAATGTTTTATTATTTGTACAGTTTATTTATGCGTGGTACATGAAAAACTGGAGCCTGTTACTCAAAGTATGGTCTGTGGATCATCAGTATTAGCATCATTTCGGAGTATGTTAGAAACCAAATTCCTGGGCCCCACCTAGTTTGAGGATGAGCTCAGGAATCAGTTTTTAACAAGCTCACTAAGACTGTGACGGCCAGTAATCACTGAGAAGCATTACTTTAGCTCAATGATCCCTAAGCCTATCTGTGCATCAGAAACAAAATGTATCTAGGGGTACTTGTTGAAATGCAGATTCCTCAGCATTTCCCCCCAAGATTCCTGCTCATTAAATCCTGGGTGTAGTCCTGGAATCTTCATTTTAACAACTGCCTCGAGTGATTCACATCCATGTAGTAGAGCACCATGCTTTGAGAAGCACTGCGTTCAGGTCTGTCGTTAACCCAGAGCTTCACCAGAGCTTCAGGAGTCAAAGAGGATGTGGTCACCGTGGCTTCTGCTTGGCCCCACACGCTCATTTGCTTGTCACTCCTGGCCACCACTATCATCACCACCCCTCTAGAATGGGGAAGAAGGTAATAGGAGCAATGTGTAATTTGAGGTTTGTGAGTTTACTGGATGATCTGGGTAGCTGAATAAGCTGGTATTTTGGGTCCAATCATTGTTCTAACTTAAAACTGACTTCTGATGAAACAATCATCTTCTATAGAGCGGTGGTTTTCACACTTTATCTTGCACAGAATCATATGGAGAACTCATTCAAACAAAGATTCCCAGGCTTCCACCCCAGAGTTTCTGGTTCAGTGGGTGGGGCCAAAGAATTTAGTTCCATCAAGTTCCCAGGTGCCAGGGACCACACTTTGAGAACCACTGATCTATAAAGCCATCACTTCTCCTTATGTAGATTGGAAGTACCTGGTCAAGGACAAGATTTGAACTCTAGAACTTTTGCTGCTTCACGAGGGTCTATGTACCAACACCATTGGCATCACCAGGAAGTTTGTTAGAAATGCAGAATCCCAGGTCCCATGTCAGACCTGCTGAATTAGAATCTGCATTTTGACAGGATCTCTACATGATTCATTTGAACTTGAAAGCTTGAGAAACACCCCTATAGGAGAATCTGATGGTTAGTCAAGAAAGTCTCAGATGAAAAATACAGATACCACAGTCTGCAAGAATCTTTTAGCCTTACTGAAAGCACAGCAAGGGAACAAGAGTCTAAATAGAACCACAGTTATTGAGAAGCAGCCCTGAATTATTGTAATACCTCTTATTCAAGAAGCTACAAGCTGGGTAGGCTGTGGTGGGAAGAGGTCTGACTTGGGAGCCAGAAGATGCTGGCCTCAAACAACCTCTCTGAGTTTCCTCCTCTATTAAACAGTGTAGTTGAATTAGGGCAGTAATTTTCAGCTCTGGCTGCACATTTGAATCAACTGATCAACCAAGGCACTTCTGAAAATCCTATATCCAGGCCACACTTGGCACCAATTCAAGAATCTCTCAGGCAGACATCAATATTTTTTAAAGCTGTGCCCTGGCTGGTGTGGTTCCGTGGATGGAACATCGGCCTGCTCACTGAAGGGTCATGGGTTTGATTCTAGGTCAAGAGCATGTACCTGGGTTGCAGGTAAGATCCCAGGCCCTGTTGGAGCTCATGTGGGAGGCAACCAGTTGGTGAGTCTGTCTCACATCTCTCTCTCTCTCTCTCACTCTCTCTCTCTCCCTCCCTCCCTCCTTCCCTCCCTCCTTCCCAGCATCCCTTCCACTTTCTCTAAAACTCAATGGAAAGAATATCTATCTTTGGGTGAGGATTAACAACAATAACAACAACACTTTTTAAAGCTCTTTCAATAATTCCAATGTTTGGCCAAGATTAAGACCCATTAGTGTTGCAGATATCCAACTCTAAACATTCTTGAACATCTTCTAAATATATTTAAACAGTGCATTGATCAGGACAGAAGCAATGCACCTGGCCTTATGGCTCCAAACAGAAGAGCCATCCACTCTTACAGGGGGGCACTGGAGCATGGAGCAGAGACCACGTTTGCCTTTGTTTCCCAGTTCACCTTCTCCTTCGGTGCTCTGTAGGAAGTAGGACTTCCTGTGTGTAAGTGACCCCTTAAAAGGAAGGCTTAAACCCAACATATCTAGCTGATAAGAAATCAAATTTGGGCCCTAGCCAGTTTGGCTCAGTGGATAGAGCATCGGCCTGTGGGCTGAAGGGTCCCAGGTTCGATTCCAGCAAGGGCATATACCTTGATTGCGGACACATCCCCAGTGGAGGGTGTGCAGGAGGCGGCTGATCGATGTTTCTCTCTCATCAATGTTTCTAACCCCCTCTCCCTCTCCCTTCCTCTCTGTAAAAAAATCAATAAAATATATATTTTTTAAAAAGAAATCAAATTTGGTATCAGCACTTCCAGAGGAATGTTTTCCCAACCCTGTGAATTCAGCTTATTGATTACAAGATTATTTTCTACTTTCTCAGGTAGAGCCTGAGAATCTCAAGGGCTGGCTTATAAGTATCTTTCGCTCATTTCAGCATCACTAACCTCCTGCATTTTTCTGTTGTTCATGCACATCTCTTATGCTTTAATAAAACACACAATTAAAAAAGATCAAGTCCTAACTGATTTGGCTCAGTGGATAGAGTGTCAGCCTGCAGACTGAAGGGTCCCGGGTTCTATTTCAGTCAAGGGCACATGCCGGGGTTATGGGCTATAGGGGGCATGCAGGAGGCAGCTGATCAATGATTCTCTCCCTCTCCCTTCCTCTCTGAAACCAATAAAAATATATTTTTTAAAACCGAAACAGGAAATTCTATACACTTTTGTGCAGTTATTAGTCACTAAGGCTGACTTGGACATGACCAGAAATTAACAAGGCTAACCATTAGTTCCTCTTGTTCCACAATCGAAACACATTTGAGACTTTTTAGATCCCAGGTAATTGTGCAAAATATTTTTCCAGATCTGAGTAACTAAAGTGGTTTTATGGTTTCAATGGATTACAAACCCCACAATGTTTAGTTTCCCTTGAGACTTATCACCAACTTTAGCTAAAAATCCAACCAACCTGAGTGAGTTGGCCAAATCCTTGTGGCCAGGAGGTTTCTTTAATGGGGTCATTAGGAAAGGTTTCAATGGGACTCCGGTCTCCATGCCTAAAAACCTGAAAATAGATTAAGACAGTAATGTTACAAATTTCATTTTGGTATTTGGCCTCTCCTCATCATAACAGATATTTTTCTAAACCACTGGTTCTCAATCTTGGCTGCTCATACCATCACTTGGGGAGTTAAAAGTATTCTGAGGATGGAGCCACCCCTAGTGATTTTGTTTTATGAATTTGGGATACAGCCAGGGCATCAGGATTTTAAAAACCTTCCCAGGTAAATCGTAGGTTAAGAACCACTGTTCTAAAATCACTAACACTTTTCCTGTGTTTCAGGTAAAGCAAGTAACAAATGATTAGCCATTAGGAGGCAGACCATCCGCACATGGAAACTGGTTTGTACATTGGACAGGACGAGAAGGAACACAAAGCTCAGTAAGATCACTTTATTGCAGATGCACTCTGATGAGAAGTAGTCTTCCCTTAATTGTAGTTACAGTAATAATGGTGTCAACATTTTTTGCCTATAATAAAATGCTTCATAGAAATTGCAACTATTTTGCATCAATGATTCTTAGGAAGTTTTTAGGAGGTTGGAGGTAAAGGAATTGCGGCGGGGAGATGAGAAGAGCGAATTCTCTATACTTTAAGGACATACTTTGGATGTGTACACAGGTCATGCTATTTTTTTTAATTGATTTCAGAAAGAGGAAGGGAGAGGGAGAGAGGGATAGAAACATCAATGATGAGAATCATTGATCCGTTGCCTCCTGCACATCCCATAACTCAGACATGTGCCCTGACCAGAAATCGAACTGTGACCTTCTGGTTCATGGGTTGATGCTCAACTACTGAGCCTCACTGGTTGGTATGTCATGCTATTTTGAGTGCCCATTTTACTCTTTGGGGTGCAGCCTGAACTTCTGAAACCTTGATTATAATATGTTTTCTGAGCAGTATACCAAGCCAAACACAAAGTTATTTTATAAGCAAAAGATAGGGAAATAAAAACACTCAAGAAGTACAAGATGGCTCCATCCTGTTTGGCTCAGTGGATAGAGTGTCGGCCCTCGAGCTGAAAGGTCCTGGGTTCAACTCCAGTCAAGGGCACATACCTCGGTTGCAGGCTTGATTCCTGACCCTGGTTAGGGCTCATGCGGGAGGCAACCAATTGATGTGTCTCTCTCACATTGATGTTTCTCTCTATCTCTCCCCCTCCACACTCTCTAAAAATCAATGGGAAAATATCCTTGGGTGAGGATTAACCAGAAGAAGGAGGAGGAGGAGGAGGAGGAGGAGGAGGAGGAGGAGGAGGAGGAGGAGGAGGAGGAGGAGGAGGAGGAGGAGGAGGAGGAGGAGGAGGAGGAGGAGGAGGAGGAGGAGGAGGAGGAGGAGGATAACAAGATGAAGTCTACATTGATGCCAGCACACACATTTAATTGCACTTTTCACTTATACTACCTGGCTAAGGTGCTCCACTGAAAAGAAAGCCAGGAGGCTGTTCTTTTGAAATTCTGTAAAAGAGCTCAGTAGACACTGAATAAGAAAGAGTATCAAAGCTTTAGCCATCTTTGAGGCAGTGAGGGAGGATTCTAAGACTTTGGTTGTGTCTCTGGTGTCTGAAGAAAACTGATCTTTTGGTCCCTAAACCAGCAATTTTCAACAGGTGTGCTCAAGAAATTTTAAAACATGCAATACCTGGCTATATAGTCAGGGACACTGACCTCTTTTCCCTTAGATTGTAAAAAAAAAATGACAACAGCCAACACAACAATAGCTGTTTGGTGTGCATGAATCAAAAGTATACCTATTTTTTAAAAATCAGATTGGCGTGTGCCGCAGAATTTTAGTAATTAGTTTATGTGTGCCATGAGATGAGAAAGGTAGAAAATCGCTTCCCTAAACTAAAATCTCATTAGAACGGGCTACAGCAAATACAGGGCTAATGGTGCAGTGGGTCTTAAGAAACCGTCTGGGTCAGGTAAGGAATTACTGTAATAAATGGTGCCCTCATGGCAGGAAGAAGGGCCACATATTCTCCAATGAGCACCTACAGTTATTTGTCACCAAGAGTGACTTGGTTATGACCAGAGATTATTGAGGCTAAACATTAGTGCTTCTCTTTTCACAATAGAAACACACTTCAGACTTTTACTTCCCAAAATACTACATGCAAAACACTTTCCCAGATCTGAGTAACTAGAGTTGTTATATGGTTTCAATAGATTATAAACTCCACATTGTTTAATTTCCCTGGTTTCTCAGCTTCAGTACTGTTGACATTTGGGTTGGGTAATTCCTTGTGAGGAGCTGTCCTATGCCTTATAGGATGTTTAGCAGCATCCTTAGCCTTTGCCCACTAGATGACAGTAGCATTCTCCACTTGTGACAACCAAAAAGGCATGTGCCCTGACTGGGAATCAAACCATGACTCCTGGTTCATAGGTCCACGCTCAACCACTGAGCCACCGCAGCCAGGCAGACCTCAAGTGCTTTAAAAAAAAAAGTCAATCAGAATGTGTTACTTGGTTGCTTAGAATCCTCTCATTCTGTTTAAGTTTATTTGGCAGAAAATCGTAAAGATATACAAAAGTAGAGATTGTTATAGTGAGCCCCTGCCTACTCTCAGACATCATATAATTTCAGACATTATATCATTTCCTATTGCTCTTTGCATAATATTATAATTTCCTTACTCTGGCTCACAAGATCATACCTGATCTGGCCTTGCCCACCATAATGTTCTCACCTTACATTTTTGCTAAACATGGTTAGTCACCAAGCCCTCCCGCTGGCCCATCCATCTGATATAATAAATTTGTTCCAGCCTCAGAGTGTTGATGTCCTATCTGCCTCAAATGGCCTGTTTCTACTTCTTCCCCTGGGACACACACACACACACGGTCGCTAATTCACATCTGTCCTGGGAAAGGCACCCTCTGCGGAGAGGCCTCCCTTGACCACAGGTTACAAAGTAATTCCTGCTCCATCTCTTTCTCATCCCCCGGCTCTATTTTTGTCCCTATTTTCTTGTGTTTTGTGTGTATGTGTATCTGGCATCTCTTCTCCCCCTAAATTCCTTGGCAGTAGAATCCTTGCTGTCATGGGCACCGCTATATCCCCAACACAGTGCTGGCACACAGGACACATATGCTCCCACACAGCAAGATGCCCCGCGCTCTGCCCAGCGAGATGCCTTTGAAGGACATGCAGGCCTAGGGGGCCACTGAGCCCAGGAGAGACCCTGGAGGGTTGTTTGTGAGTGGAGGCCGGAGCCCTGGTTTTGTTTGCCAGTAGAGAGTTCTCCCTGGTCCCTCTTTTAGATGCCAACCAATCTGTAGGCGTGGCTCCGGACAGTTACAACTGGAGTCCCCAGCACCCAGTATGTCCCAAAGAAGTTCCAGTTCCTCTTTAATACCAAGATAATATTACAGGCCTTGCTGGGCCATTTGGAGGATTCAAAATACAAATGTAAGAGCCTAGCATCTAGTGGATGCTCACAATATGGTGGCTGCGATTCTTACTTTGATAGAAGCAGAAGATAACATTTATAGGCCTTGAGAAGTTCCTGCCTGTGTTCTAAGGTATTGTTCAAACATGAACAATTAAGATGAAAGCAAATAAAAGGGCAGTCGCCAGTCTTATTCTAGAGAAAAGTTCTGAAGGAAAGGACAAGTAAGTCAATGGATCAGTAAGTCAAACCGTGGTTGGAGTGAATAAATTCTGTTTAACTCTTGAGTCACATTTTAAATTTTTATTTTTTTTTAGTTTTTATTGGGCCAGGGACCCAAAGCTGGGAAGAAAAATGAACAAACTTAAAAGAAAAAAAGACATGTAAATACTTTATCCTTTTTAGAACAGAAAGAATAGAAAAGAAAAACAAATCCTGGCATTTTAATTAACTGGTTATGAATGTTACAAAAAGCACACATGGGATAATTGTATGTATTATGTAAGTGTATGTATGTTAATAATAGTTACAATGTTTGGGGCATTTACCAGATAGGCTTATAAGTACTTCTAAGTATTAACTCAATGAAGTCTCACAACAACTCCATGAAGTACTATTATCCCCATTTTACTGATGATGAAACTGAGGCACAGAAAGGTTAAGTTACTCATCAAAAGCCACACAGCTAGTAAGGGGTCGAGCTGTAATCAAACTCAGGTGGTCTGCACATTTAAACACGATGCTATAGTGCGCTGTGTAGTACACAGTATTGTAAGTTTCTTCGGTGTTTATAGTTCATATTAATTTTTAAGACTTTCAAATGTTTAATGCCTTGTATATATCCCACCTCCATGACATCATCATCTTTCCAGCAACCAAAAACTGAAAACTCAGAGTCATTTTGGTTTCTCTTTTTTCCTTATTATTCAACCCATAGGGATTCTGCCTTCACATTTTTTTTTAAAAGAAGTTCATCCTTTATTTTCCAACTCAGGTCTTTACTGTGCTTTTCCTGAACTGTGGTAGCATTCTCTCTCTGTTCTCCCCTCCTGCTTTTTCCTTCCTCAAACCATACTGCAGATGTGTCACCTCCAAGAGAAAATGAATTATAATTCATAGTGGCTAAGACTTGAGTACAAAGAGGTGACGTAGTTAGTCTAAGGTTCTAGGTAGTCTAAGGTTATAGTGTAGATAACGATCTAGTACTTTATATTCCCTTTTCTTGGATCCCTTTCAGCTACACATGTGCTTAACTACGAAGTTTCCTTATTAATTTTATAAACTAGAAAGTACAATTTGTATTTTATTAAGTTTATAAGCTCAAAAATAATAAAGGATTATCTAGAACCTTGAGGACATCATGCTAAGTAAGGTAAGTAATTCACCAAAGGACAAATACTGTATGATTTCACTTATATGAAATATATAGAGTAGTCAGATTCATAGTCAGAAAGTAGGATGGTGGTTGCCAGGGGCTGAGGGGAGGGGAGAATGGGGAGTTGCTGTATAAAGGGTATGGAGTTTCTGTTTTCAAGATGAAAAAAGTTGGGACATATGTAAGCACTCAATTAACTATGGGTTATTGTCATTAATATTATCTCTTTAATCAGAGGCACCTTTCTTTCGTTCTGGTTCTCCTGATAATTTTCTACGGATTTTCCTGGGTATATAATGGAATCATTTATAGTCAAACATTTGCTATGATCCATGAAAAGATGAAGGTAATATCTTCTGGCTTAAGTCCTTGGACAGAAGTTGTTTTGTAAGGGCCAAGAAAGGTGTATTAAGTTGCCTTTCATCTACCATTCATGGAAGAAAGCTGTGGTAGGAGAAATTGTTAACATTGGCTTTGTGTGAGAATTGTTCATTGTTTTTGGCTGCCAGTGAACTACCTCTGTAAGGTTTTTCTTAGGGAAGACTTAACTGGGACTCCCTAAACTTATGTTAACTAAGAGTGGAGGAGAGTTTGGTAGTCAAGTTGGCCTGGGCTGTAGTAAAACACGGAGGAGACCCAAACACAGGCAGTTCACTGAGGGTTGACTGTAATATCTCAGAGAGGGTCACTACTGAACTGGCTTATCACAGGTTTAGAGCATTGCAGGGCAATTTCTGCAGTTCCCACCCTTGCTCAATGCACATGTTGGCAAAGGAACCCATGCACAGAACTAAAAGTCTAACTTGCATGGATTTCCCCCTGTAACTGAAAGTCTAACTTCCCATGGTAGTGCACAATATTACACAGCTTTTTCAGCACAGAAGCCTGACAGCTGGTGAATCGTCTGTAAATAAATTGATGGTATATTTCTCTGGTTCTCCTCTCTCTCTCATTTTTGACTCATGACCTAGTAAAGATTTACTGGACTAAGAATCATGACTTGCATAAACTCATGGTTATGAAATTTTTTTTTTTGTAGAAGGAAAAGGAGTTTTGACTACACTTAAGCTGACAAAATAGGAATTTCATGTTTAATTTTTAAGAACATTCTAAAAATAAATCATGAACATTCTTACAGAGAGAAAAATCTACGTATTTATCAGCATACTTTCACGAGCAAAGGAAAAATGTGAGAGAGAAAGAGAGGGAGAGAACCTGTGAAAGACAAGGAAAGCGTCAGAGGCAGAAACAGATCAAAGAGAAACAGAGATACACAGAAAATCAGACACAAACAGAAACCAACAGAAGGATTAATTCCAGAACTCCTATGTAAAGTGGTAAATCCCCTTTACTTTGCAAACTCTTTCTATTTTTAAAACAGTGCCAACAGTATATTTTCTTTCCCTAACATCATGCATTTGGCAGCCTCTACCCCCCTCCCCCCGCCACCTTTTCTCATAACTTGTCACACATATGGGTGGGGAAAAACATGATTTCAGTGGTCAACCAAATCGATGTATCAGGAAGTCATCCTAGAACGCTTGAGTTTAGTTTCATTTTTCCGTTTCAAACACTGTTTGTAAATTTACTGATAAACAGAAGGGTTTCTTCACTCAGAAATGACTGGGTTTTTGGGGGGTTTGCAAACAAATCATCATTAAACGGAATGAAGCTAGTTCAGCCCCTGGTACTAAACAGCGCCAGCTGTGGCTTCTTCTCCTGGCTGGATTGGCTGTCAAAAGGAGTCTGCATTCGAGGCAGTTGTGAAGAAAGTGGATAAAGGAGGAACATGGGCAAAGGCAAAAATACCCAAACCAAACACCTTTGCATCAGCACACGTTAAAACTTCACTCCCAGGAACTTGCGAAACCTGATTATTCACTCTCCCAGTTTGGTCTCCCAAGGTAACAGAAGGGTAACCAGAAACCTGACACTCCATGTTCAGACCCTGCTGGTCACAGTTTTGAGAGAAAAGCAGTGAGAAAAGAGTACTCACCAGCGTCACAAACTTCAGCTCCTTAGCTCCCACACCTGGGTCCGGCCAGAAGGAAAGCAGGAGCAAGAAGCTAAGGCTGGCTGCCCTGGCCACCAGGCACCGGGCAGCTGTCATGATGGGGAGAGCTGCTGCTGGCAGGACCTAGGAGGTGCAACTTCCCCTGCAAAAGCCATTAAAGGGGAAGCTATTTAATCAAGAATTAAAAGAGAAGGAGGAGCTGGGAGGAGCCAGACTCCTAACTTGTAAAACCTCCAGGTAGCTTGGGGCGGGGTTTGGCACGGTCAGATTAATTTGGGGGCCAGGTGTTAGAGATCACAATCTTCTGGATTTCAGTTGGAAGGAGACTCAGGGAAGGGAATGCTGTGGCTCAAGGTGGCAGGCATTTTTTTTGTTTTGTTTTTGAGTTTAGCTTTATCTTTCCTTTCGATGGGGTGTGATCCAGCATTTGTGTTGTGGCTGTCACTTGGGAAAGGGATTTACCCTGGCTTTGGAAGCCTTGGGCCAGTCATGATTCATCTTTTGGGAGTCCAGAATTCTAAGGGGTGAACTATGGAAGAAACTGGCGATGTAATAGGATAGTAAGAAGCTAGGAAAATTCCAGGACAAGTGCAAGAGGGAAAGCGGTAGCAAGAAGTTAAGGTGAAAGCTTGCTGCCCTGGCCACCAGGCGTGAGGAGCAACGGGCAGCGGTAGCTCGTCCCAGGCTAACCCCCTGAACCTGTCGCCAAGGCCCCCCTTTTCTCTGACTTCCCAGTGAGCCAAAGCAGCCCAGCCTGGGCTCTCCTGTTGCTTCTTCTATGCCCTTGTTTCACTGTCCTCAGTATATTTTTGCTGTGGTCAATACATTCTTGCTTGCTTTTCTATACTTGGTCTCTTGATTGAAATCTTTCTTTCAAAAAGACAAGAACCGAGGTCTCCTCGTCTCACCGGTAACACAGGTACAGGCATATTTTGGGTCTCTTACCCAGGCTACACGTGACTCCCTTTTCTAGAACTCTCATGTAGCCTGTAGAGGTATTCTTAAATTGCAGAAGAGCAAGAGCAATTTTATACTTACACGGTAAGATATATGGGGCTCACCTGTGATATTTCAAAATTAGGGTTAAAAGTTTATTTCCTAACATGACACAGCCCAACAACAACAACAAACTAACTCACGACTCTTTACTGTCCATCACCAACTTTGGCCATGAGCCTGACATTCTGGGTGAGTCATACGCTGACCTCTCCAGCCATGATCTCATCGGGGAAGCTATGGAAGAGGATAATCTGGACTAAGGAAACTTAGCTTCCATTTCTCTGATCCTGTCAGCTCCAATCATAGGCTAAAATGGGATTTTCAAGCAGAGCTCTTGTCCCTGATGCTTCCACCCCACTAACAGAGGAGAGGAATGCTTTCCCCACAACCTGTTCCCCAGCACACGGTGCTTACCTGCACCGGGAGGGTGCTGTTGTGATGTGATCAAGGATGCCCCAGAATGCAGTGTGTGGGAGAGCTGTTCTTCTGTGCGAGGAAATGTATGTGAAACGTGAAAGCATGTGTGGTTAGGGTTAGACATTTAAGGGGACTTGTGAGCCTCTCTTTGCCATCACATTCTCCACCTGCCAGTCTCCACTGTCATTTCTAATGGGTGAGATTTTGAGGAGATGGACGCAGGGAAAAAAGGTGGTCCAGGGCAAAGCTGAAGTTGCCACACTGATCCCTACTGTGTGGGCCAAGCAACCTTGGAAAGGAAGCGCCAGTATCTGCTTACTGTTCACAGGCTTAGTTCTGAACCACGGGCCTTACATTGTGCCGGACACCTGATTCTGCTCAATGTCTTATTTTCTCAAGGATCAGCCCGGCTCCTTGTTCTCTGGTCTTCTGCCCTGTCTCACTCTTAAATTGATGCCTGATACTGTTCTGACTACAGTTTTAGCGCCTCCTGATAATCACACTGGTTCTGTAACCTGCTTGTGTTAGGTTGTGCTAAGTTAGATAAGCCCTCCTTCTAACCCAAACCCTACTACCTCTGTCACCTCCTCTGGGCTCCTTTTAGCCCTTCAAGTAAGAACAACAACAGCAATAACTTCTTATAGAAAGAAGAACAACAAAAAGCTGCTTGAATTGAACACATCTCAATTCAAACTGAATTCAAGTTGGAATAAGTGGGTAGTTTATAATTCTGTCTCAGTCCCCATCCAAACTCCTACTTTGATTATCAAATTATAAGGGGAGGAGAAGGTTATAAATGCAGATCTTGCATACCATGAAGTAGGGTTTGAAGAACCTCAACTCAGAGAAAACCTATTTTAGAATCTCCTTTGGTCTTTTGAATCTTGAACGCACAAGGCCTTTGTAAAGACTTAAAGAGTCATCTGGAATAAACATATGGATATGATAGCATTGAAAGTGAGACTTGAAAAAATACTGAGATGTCTTCCTTGACGTCCCAATGAAGGTTGTCAATCATTTTATTGTCAAGGATTAGCAGAATTTACTGGCTGAATCACCTTAGTTTCATTGTGATATTTCTTTCGTCATATGTTCAACCTCTAATTAGTATGTGTTAGGAAGTCCCATAAGTGGAACAGGCTGTGTTCATCGGAAAGCAAACACCCAGATGGAGATTTGCATATGCGAAATTTATTAGGGAGTGTTCTCAGGATCAGCAAAGGTAAGGGGAGGAGAAATGAGCAGGGTTGAGAAGAAGGAAATCCTGCTGATCCTGCTAGAGTTCTACAGCAGGGACGGCCTGTGGAGTTGTTCTGAATTGGGGTGAAGGGACAGGACGTTTTACTCTGACATTAGCCAGTCATTGGATGCAGGTTTCTCCTGGCAGGGAGTTTGACCCTGTGTAAGGTGGCTCCCTTCTGCCAGGACACTTCTCAAAGGAGTTGACAGCTGAGTGATATCAGACAAGTTCCCAAGAGCTGGGGTGAATTACTCCTTCAGCTCATAAAGGGAGACCTGGGTGGTGTAACTCAGAATCACGACAATGAACAAATATTTATGAGGAAAAAATTCATGATTTTTGGTAGATGGAAGGCTATAAAAGTACTAAGTATGCCTCTGATAGCAAGAGACTGGGTTGGAGTTGAAACCCATTAACAGGTATATTGGCTGTTCACCAGGTAGAAAGCCTATGATTGAACTCTCTGACTTGCTACATCTTCACAATTGTATTATTTGGCTTTCAGTGCCATATGGGCACTCAATAATATTGATTGATTAACAGTCAATATAAAGGCAAATTATCACTTCAGAACCTTGTTGCTATGTTAGCTGCTTTGAGGCAAATTTAATATAAGACAAGTTTAGAGTAAAAGTTCTTTTCCCCTAAACCAGTGGTCGGCAAACTCATTAGTCAACAGAGCCAAATATCAACAGTACAACGATTGAAATTTCTTTTGAGAGCCAAATTTTTTAAACTTAAACTATATAGGTAGGTACATTGTTATTAATTTAATTAGGGTACTCCTAAGCTGACCTTTGCTAAAAACGTCCTCAATTTGATTGAGGTACGTTTGCTGAGGTTGACCCCTTCCTACTCTCCCATCCACACTCATCTTGTATACTTGTTTCAGATAAACGAGTGTGGATGGGAGAGTTGGAAGGGGTTGACCTCAGCGAAAGTACCTCAAAACAATGTACCTCCTCCTTGCTGCATATCCCGCAGCCTGGCTGCACCGCGTCTCCTGTCGCCCAACCGACCGACCAACCGACCGACACCCCCCACTTCTTCTAACGCCACTTCTTCAAAATAGACTCTCCCAGGCAGAAAACCGACTTCTGCGCATGGGCCACAAAGTTTCAATCGCACTGTATGTGCCCGCCCGCACGTGGTATTTTGTGGAAGAGCCACACTCAAGGGGCCAAAGAGCCGCATGTGGCTCGTGAGCCACGGTTTGCCGACCACTGCCCTAAACCAATCACTGTGTGTGTGTGTGTCTTTGTGTATACTTCTATCTGCCCTTGCATAAAATGACTATTGTTTAATATTTAGATAAACATCCCCTCATATCACCAATCACTATGTCATTGGAAAGTATCAAAGTAAGCTATAACTGAGATCATCTTTCTAGTATTTCTCTAACTATAACACATGTAAGAGTCACTTGGGAAGCTTAATGAAATACAGATTCCTGGGCCTCACTCCCAAAAATTCCAGTTCAGGAGATTCAGATAAGATCAGGATCAGTGTCCTGCCAAGCCTTATTGGAGCATGAAGTGAAAGGAAAAAACAATAATACTGATCCTGTCTTTATTTAAAATTTTGATATTTAATAATGACATTGTTTTACAGTAATTCATTAATTAATTATTTTAATTGGTGTGTGTGTGTGTGTGAGAGAGAGAGAGAGAGAGAGAGAGCTCACAACATTGTTTAGTTGCCTCCCATTTGTGCCCTGACCAGGGATCAAACCTGCAATCTTTTGGTGCATAGCACTTCAACCAACTGAACCACCCAACCAGGGCACAAATAATTTCTTAGTGTAAGTATGTTCCATGCAATATTTGGGCATCTTGTATTTTCATTTTCTAAATCTGGCAACTACTCTACAACATTTTTGTAAAAACATTATGATCCCTATTTTATAGATGAAAAGAATTGAGGCACAAAGAGGTTAAGCAACTTGCCCATAGTCACACAGCTAAGATTTGAACCAAGGGTGTATGATCCCAGAGGCCATGCCCTGCATCACTGGACAATATGTTCCTGTTGTGTGTAAAACCCAGCCCATGGAGCTGAGCTCTCCTTGTGGAGGTTGGTGGGTTGACTTAACTCATAATCAGCAGGTGGTTTTCTTGCTTTTCCTCTGCTGGAGATTTGTGAATATGGTGGGAGGAGATGTAGTCAGAGGGGTGAAAAGCTGTCAAATCACACAGGGTCTTGTTTGCTTGGTGAGGAGCCTGGATTTATTCTAAATGCAGTGGGGAGACAAATGAGGAATTTTAATCAAGGGAGGGATACGTGTTAAAAATCACTGTGGCTACTTGTCCAGAGAGAATTTCAGAGAAGCAAATGAGGGAGCGAGGAGAACAGCCAGGGGGTTATAGCATTGGCACAAATAGCTTGGATCAAGGTGGACCAAAGGGAGGTGGAAAAAAGAGGATGGAGGGAAGAGCTGATCAGTCTTGGATAGGAGATGTGAGGGGGAGTGGGAATCAAGGAGCACTCCCAGGCACTGGGCTTGAGAATTGGATGAATGGTTGTGCTG